CTCTAGTTAGGTTCTTTAAACAAATCAAGTACTACTTACAGATGAAGTCTCAGATGCAAGATCAACCCTAATACGAAATCCATCTGCAATTTGAGTCCCATTTCTACATTATAAATATGAAGAGAAATGGTTGTTAAAAATGAGCCATAAATTATTTATATGTTCTAAAATGAAACCAAAGAATAAAAAAAAGTACCCCCCCACATTTATATGACAATAATTCTGTTTAAACCTCAGAGATAAAATTACCTTTTCAATGCTTTTGTAGCAGCACTCTTGTCCTTAAACACAACATAGGCATTAATATTTTTCTGATCAGGATGAATTTTACGCCTACATACAAAAAAAAAAAAAAAACCACAATGTAAAATTTGTCAACATCTAAGCCACTGAAATAAATCCAGCTTGTTTTCTACTCTCAGTCAACACATGTGACAAGAACTGCTGGATAGACATCTCATCTCTTTCAACAAATATTTAGTAATAACCCAAAAAATAACATACAACTTACAAATGGCAGAGACGTAAGCCACACCTTCTTAGGTGTGTGTCATCACCATAAGAAAACGGGGGACTGCCCACAAGACACTAAGGTGCACAAATCCTTGAGAACAATACAAGGACTAGAAACTACTATCTCAGCTGCAGCTCCATATCTGACACACACAAATAGATGTGAAAGACAATTTCAGTTTTCCTTTTTACTATAAAATTAAACACCCATATAGAAAGTACCCAATTGTATACAGCTCCATGAATTAACAACAGCTCAATACCACTGCAGCCATCACCCACCCAGAAGCTTCTCTCCATGGCCCCTCCCAGATATAGCCCCTCCCTCCCCTACATCCAAAGGTAACCACTATCCCCACTTTTACAGGAACCACTCCCCTGCATATCTATGTGGTTTTACCATCCAAGTGTCTACTCCTGGACACCATATTTTGGTCTTGTCCCTTCTTTGACTTGATATGCCTTTTGAGTCTTATTTAATTTATAGGATTCTCCCCTTATCTCTTTATCTTACTGTTTGATCTGAAGAATTTCTGACAGCCTGGATTTTGCTGACTGCCAGCTCATAATGCAGTTCAATATGTACCTCTGTCCTCTATCCTTCTTGTAAGAGCTAGATCCCAAGGTTTGATTAGACTCAGATTTGACCAGGACCTACCTTTGCCAGGACCATAGGTTAAGTGTTATGTTCTTTCAAGCGAAGGCATGTTATGACTGGTTTTCACTATTTTTCAAAATGACTGACTGCAGCTGGTGCTACTTAATGCCTAAACCCATTAATTCACTAGGTTTGCAAAATGGTGATATAATTTAGATGTGATAAGTCAGCAAAAGGGATCTAGTAATGACCATAATCATTCCCTGAAGACATCAATTTATTATTTTGAAGTAACAAAAATGCTACTACACAAATGAGTATCTTACAAAATTTACAAAAATGCTACCACACAAATAACAGCTATTGGAAAATAGTGCCCAGCATGGCTCATGGCATTCTATAATAATGTACTATACTATTTAATAGTTTTAGACTGATAGGGCCAGCTGTGATTTACTGAATGTCTGATATATACCAAGCACTGAGCTAGACACTTTATGTATCACATTTAATTTCACATCTCCGACACAGGTGTTATTTTTCTGATTTTACAAATAAGGAAGCTGAGGCTCAAAAAGATACGTAACCACAATTGCAAAGTGACCAGCCTAGGACTGAAGCCAAGTCTAGCTGACTCCTGAGCCCTACTCCTTCCATACAACACGCAGCTGCAGACAACGTCCAAATCCAACACATCATGGTGCCTCCCTAGGAACACACGACTGGAAAGTGACTGTTAAAAATCTTAGTAATTGCATTGTACTCTCTCTGGAGAACGATCTCCTTGGCACAGGGAATAAAAAGGACAAGAATGCAACTCTGCTCAAACAACTCCCAATTAAGAATGTCAATATGAAGTCAAAAGATGTCCAAAGGAACAGCTGTAATGTAAACCTTTGATAGAACAGGATTCCCAGAAATATTTCTAAAGTATGCTATATTTTATCTAATATAAAGACATCTCTGCTTGTAAAATCCATCATTTCATGTACCACTAAGGAAGAAACACCCAAGATAGTGAGACTAGTAAGAAACTCTGCATAAAGCTGAAGGTAAATGAGAAACCTTCCACATGGGAAGGGGGAACAAGGAAATATGTAAGTCTCATTCTTAACATTGGATGGAAAAAAAAATCCTGAGAATTTGAACCACAAGCCACACCACCAGTCCCAAAACCCTTAAACAGAAAACTTAAAAGCGGTCACAAGCTGGCAGTACCCCTAGGTGACTGGCAGAAACAAACATGAATTCTTTGGAAAAATTTGAGCATCCGACAGCAAGTATGAAGCATCCCTTATTTTTAGGAGCACTTTGATCCAACAGCAACTATAAGGTACCCCTTAGAACTTATGAAATATGGACCAAGCACAGTGGCACATGTAGTCCCAGCTACTCGGAAGCCTGAGGCAGGAGGATTCCTTGAGCCCAGGAGTTTGAGGTTGCAGTGAGCTATGATGATGCCGCTGCACTGTAGCCCACGCAATAGA